ATTGAGTCAAAAACAATAAAGCGTTAAACCCGTGATTTACATTTGGCACGCGTTCCAGGTTTACGATGACTAATGTTCTTTTCATCGGACATATACAGATGAATATAATGGGAAACTATTGCAATGCTCCCAAGACGTGACGAAACTTCATTTCATCGCATTAATATTTATTCGAAAAATAATTAAATTACGACTCTCGGAGAATTCGTTTAACCATATATATGCGATCAAAATCAAATTTCTCATGCCACTATCGAGTGATAGTTCAGGATAAAGAATTCGAAAGAAATAGTACATGCATGAAAGATCTAACTCATAGATAAATACTCAATGCCGATGATCAATAATGAGAAATCGCATAATTAATGCAACGGATATATACATCTGATGTTTAATAAAAGTTGGAAGTTTGAACGAACTTTTCTCAGTAACATGTGAGTAACATTTTAATTAACAGATAGCTTTCACTCGGTGAATGACGACGCATCGAAATATCGCGAAAGAACTTTCACCGATTTATGTTTGTTGTACAGCTTTCGTATGCGACATTAGTGGCCTCCGATCTTCTGGCATCGCTGCATAATGTCAAGCCATTCCAGCGGCTATCGCGATATCAAGATACCGAAAGCCTGATACACGAGATTATTATATTCGATCGCGATCATAAGGAGAGACATGGCTTTTTGAAAGGATGTTAAGTATTGATGCTTTGCTATGTTTGTAAATTAAATATGATGTCTCATTTGTTACAGTATCGATTGATTAAAAATTCATGTCAAACATACATTCTCAAACGAAGATCATTTTTTGTGAAAAATGCCTAAGTTTGAAGTAATAAAAGAATTACTAAAAAGAAGTGAAATGAAAGCATTGAATTCATTCTATTAATTATACAAGATAAGAAAAGAATGCTTTTCATATATATAAATGGTATAAGTGAAAGAATCATATGATTAGGCAAGCTGTTCTTGGCTAAACTCTCACAAATTGAAAAGAAAAAGGATGAAAACTTAATTAAAATATACTCTTATTATATAACTACTCTTATTTACCTTAGTATGTATTCTATTTAGAAATATCGCATAATTACCCATTAGTTAAATTAAATGAATCGTGCATCCTTACATATGCAAATTATCAATTTTTTTGTTTTCACAGGTTAGTTTTACAAAATTAACAACACATTTTCACTTAACTTTAAGTTAAATAGATATCGTACACTCCTAAACCACTTCAACACCATCGAAGATCAATATTGATTAAACCGCATGTTTTCTCTACAGAAGAATGGAACAGAATGGAATAGAAGGTCCGATTAGAAAGTGCGAATCATATTAACCGATCGTACACTTTATACTCACTCAAGACTTATCTCTATTCTACGCACGTGTTAACACACGACCACGTGGACGTAGCAGGAGGTCATAGACGGAGGATCGGATCAATGCTCGTCACGGAGCTCTAGAGTCGCATTACGCGCAATTAATTTCATATAAGATCCGTGACCGGTATATTTGCATGTCCGATTGGTCGTTTCGAATTAGAACCACCATAGTTACATATCTAACCGACCTATTTACAATATTAAACGCTTCAGCGTCTTTCAATGCCAGAAACCGGAACCTTGTTCGCGTTGACAAGAAAATTCACGTGTTTCAGATATTTGATTGCAAAACGTGCACGTACACTTTGCTGTCCGAACTTTTCAAATGAGAAAAGAACATACCTTTAGAAATAACGGCTCTTCTGCACAGCATTTACATATGTATACCTGACATTTATTTTGAGATTTTTTTTCTTCGGAGGAACTTATCGAAGAAAGACCATCCTCGCATATTATTGTAGCATGCTACGAACTTTACTATGTCCCTCCGTTTTTCCTTTAAACGATGTTCTCTTTTGCATGCACAGAAAGGCAAATAGATACATACATATACAATTTACAACTTTGTGCTTTGCAGCGAATGTAGCGCGAACAGGCGAAAAGATATGTTGCGTAATTGTCAACCGTTTTATTCCCAGAAATCATACTGACATGTTTGCTTTCCTTGGAATTCAATATTGGAAAAATTAAATTTGTACCTCCTGAATTCGAAAGAACGAATTTTTCTTTTGAAAAAAATTTATAATTGTTTATAATTGTTTGATCGTTAAAAATTCGGTTGATATTTCACAAATTGTAGTAAAAATTCATTAATTCGCTTAAAAAATAAAAGCTAATAACTATTCATAAAAAAGAATTATATGGCAATTTCTACTTGATTTCATTTCAAAACATATACTTGAACTAATCTTGAATTCGTTTTTTTTTTCAAAAAAATTTTTCATCATTCTTTTTTTAAATTATTGATAAATAGTTATAGATATATCTTGTTTAAAATTAAAAATTGAGCATTTTCTAATCGAGTAATCAGTACCGTGCAATCCTTCCCAACAAATCGTTTTAAAAAATCATCACTTTCCCAAAATTCCATTTACATCTATTTCAATCTGCGTCGCGCAATAACATTCATCGATATTGTTCTTCGTCCTGAATTTGTTATATTTAATTTTTTTTTT